CTGAAACGAGAATGAAATGAACTATGAAAGAGTTGGGTACAAGTACTAACCCTAATTGGGTTGTACCCCCTATGGGATACCCCACTACAGCCTACACAAATGTATAAGCTATATAATGTTCCGACACACCCCCATAGGCAAAGTGGGGGAAAACAAGGGGTCATAAGACTAGTCAAGCAAAGCAAAGCAAAGCAAGCTCAGGGTGGATCTCAAAGTCACCACACATTCCGAGCACAAGGTAAAGGCCACAAGGCCAGTTCACATGCAAGAGTACATATATATAAAGATAGACAAGCAAGAGCAGGTATATATATATGTAACAGTACAAGCAAGGTCAAGAGGTGAGCAAGTGAGGCAAGACAGGCACAAGACCCAGCTGAGTGCAAAAGCGCTGATGATCACAAGGCGCAAGTGCCTTGGTGAAAACATCAGCAGTGTTGGCCTCAGAGGCCACGTACGCAAGCCGCAACTGACCACGCTGCTGCAGCTCACGAGCAAGGAAGTAGCGAAGAGCAATGTGCTTTGTTCTGTGCTCCAGTCTCTACTCTCGACACAAGGCCAGCATGGCCTTGTTGTCTACGTACAGAACTGGAGGAGAACGAGGCAGCTCTCCGAGGTCAGTCAGCAGGTAGGTGAGCCAACGTAGCTCCTGTGTAGCCATGGCCCCTGCGTAGATCTCAGCCTCACAACTGGAGCCGAGAACAGAAGACGAGCGAGTAGCCCGCCACAAAACAGAGCCGGAACCAAGGCTGAAGGTGTAACCCTGTGACGACTGCTGCGTAGCCTGGTCGTCAGCCCAAGAAGCGTCTACGTGCCCAGTGAGGACAACTGGACTCCGCCCTCCAAGCACTAGCCCCATGCCCGACGTACTGCACAAGTAGCGCAACACCCTCTTCGCTGCAGCCATGTGCTCCGGTCTGTGTCTCCCAGGAGCAACATAGCGTGCGAGAATGCTAAGAGGGTATGCAAGGTCAGGTCGTGTGCAGGTCATCAGGTACATGAGGCAGCCAACAAGCTATGCATACGGGCCACTCGACTCTACGGACTCATCCAAAGGCAGAGCTGAATATGAGTGGCGAGTAGGCAGAGGAGTGGCCTGAGGCGAGGAGTACGTGAAGCCGAAGCGCTGAAGGACCTGCTGCACCATGTGTGACTGAGTCAGGGTAATGGTGCGGCGTGCTCTGTTCCGGGTGATCCGCAAGCCATGGTAGCTGCGCAGTTCATCCAGGTCTGAGCACGTGTGTCTCTTCTGCAGCTCGGACTTCACGTGGGCGAGTCCAGCAGTGTCAGCTGTGGCAAAGACCAAGTCGTCGACGTACACGAGGATGTAGAACAGCGGCAGAGAGGTGTCGATGCGCAGAAACAGCGACGGGTCGGCAGTAGAAGGAGCAAACCCAAGAGCCGCAAGCGTAGTCCTCAGTGTGTCATGCCACTCACGGGGCGCCTGGCGGAGACCGTAGACTGGACGCCGGAGACTCCACTGGGTACCAGGAGGGAACGACCTTGTGAAGTCATGTGGGCGGAGCAGCCAGATCTCCTCGTGCAGGCTGCCCTGCAAGAACGCTGTGCTGAAGTCAAGAGAGTGCAGCTCGTAGTCACGGTGAGCAGCAACGTGCAGTAGTACCCGAAGAGTGGTCATCTTCGGGGTGGGAGAGAAGGTCTGAAAGTAGTCAACTCCCTGCCGCTGACTGAAGCCACGAGCCACGTACCATGCCTCGAAGACAGGCGGAGAACCCGGCGGGCGCTTCACTCTGAAGATCCACATGCCACTGACGATGTTCGCCCCAGGCGGGGGAACCTCGTCAACGTAGGTGCCTGTGGACTTCCAAGAAGCCCTCTCTGTGTCCATAGCTTCCTGCCACCGAGAGGAGTAGGGACCCTCTATCGCCTCCGCGTAAGAGTGCGGAGTCGGGATGTCAAGTGCATTCGGGTCTCCCTCAGGGGTAAGAAGTACAGACACGAGATGGGGTGAAGCAGCAGCCAGACAGTGGAACTCCTCCTGCGTGTCCTCTAGGACGTCCGTGCCAAGGGCACACTCACCCCCGACGGACGGAGGACAGACAGACTCAGACGCAGCGACAAGACTAGCAGCGTAGTCTAGGCGACAGCGAACAGCAAAGTCGACGAGCTCAGCAACTAGTGCAGACGCAGCAGTGGACTCAAAGGAAGGGTCAGTGACGACATTAGCAAGGAGACGTGTGACACTAGGACTGGCAGCACGAAGAGAGTCCGACTCTGGGTCGGCTAGAGCAGGAAGAGAGGACTCAGGAGGAGAAGGCAAAGGGGCACGCAGAGGAGTAGTGGACGGACGCAGAGACATCCGGTGCGTGCAAGGGACAGGAGAAGGACGCGGGCGCGAACCACGACCACTAGCGCAAGCAGCCCGGACAGGCGACGCAGGGCGAGACGCAGGCTCACGACGCTCAGCAAGACCTGCAGTAGGACCAGTGTAGGGAGAAGGAGCAGGCGGTGGGGAGGCAGGCTGTAACTGTAGCTGTGACGGGACAGGCTGTGGACACGCTAAGGGAGGAGGAGGACCAGTAGAAGGCGGAAGACCAAGAACTTGCTGCAGAATTGGAACGAAGTACGGTCGAGGCCGCAGGGAAAGGCGGCGGAGCCGCAAGTGAGGGCGGCGGGGCCGCAGGTAAGGGCGGCGGGTCCGCAAGTGAGGGCGGCGAGGCCGCAGGTAAGGGCGGCGGGGCCGCAGGTGAGGGCGTTGGAGCCGCAGGTAAGGGCGACGGGGCCGCAGTTGAGGGCGGCGTGGCCGCAGGTAAGGGCGGGGCCGCCGGTAGGTGGCGGGGCCGCAGGTAAGGGCGGGGCCGCAGGCAGTAGGCGGGCCCGCACGTAAGGGCAGTGGGACCGCAGGTAGGCGGCTGGGCCGCTGGGTAGGCGCCGAGGCCGCAGGGCGGCGGATCTGGGCCAGGAGAGGGTGGCGCGCGGGCCGCGGGGTAGGCGGCGAGGCCGCGGGGTAGGCGGCGAGGCCGCGGGGTAGGCGGCGAGGCCGCAAGGCGGCAGGTCGAGGCCAGGAAGGGTGGCGCGCGGGCCAGGAAGGGCGGCGCGCGGGCCGTGAAAGGTCGGCGCGCTGGGTGGAGGAAGGGGAGCGCGACTCGGGCTAGGGTTGAGCGCGCTCCGGGCAGGAAAAAAAAACTTTTCGAGTTTGTGGGCCCTAGGAACAGTTCCGACGAGGGAACCTGCTCAATACCATGAGAAAACTGAAACGAGAATGAAATGAACTATGAAAGAAGTGGGTACAAGTACTAACCCTAATTGGGTTGTACCCCCTATGGGATGTTGGGCTGAGAAATAGCCCTTAGGATCTTTGCAGAGGAGAACTCTTGGGTAGAAACTTGTAATAGCGGAAGCGTTTTAATGAGGATTGTGAACCGACCTTGCACTGGTGTGTGAGAGCAAAGTAGATTAAATTAAACAAGCAAATACAAGGATTTATATAAGAGTACAGGGAATACGAATAGATAGGTAGATAACTGTATTGCTGTTGCGGTTCGATACAGTGCGACTCGGGCAACTGCTCTGTAACGAGTCAGTTGTGTGTCCTTAACTGTCGCGCTGTGATTGTCGAGTCAAAGGTCAGCGACCTTTGACTTTCTCGTAACCTCCAGGCAGTTACCCTAACCTCCGAGGTTGACTCGATGCTTCGTTTGGGACTGCTTCGCTTGGTGCCTTGGGTTTGATACGACAGAAGCGCACTTAGGACTTATTGTTTCCAACATGGGATACCCCACTACAGCCTACACAAATGTATAAGCTATATAATGTTCCGACAATGGCCTGAATTGGGCTTATCATACTGATGATGAATCATGACTTGAGCATCCTGAACTTGACAAAAGATTTCAGTGGCGGAAGTTCTAGCCTGCATCCAAGTCGGGCCATCAAGACTAGTTGAACCCCACTCGCGTTCAACAGAGGTCAAGGCCCAACCTCTCAATCAGGCCTTCAGATTCGTTTTTGGCCTGTCTGATTCGTCAGACTAGTACATGGTTTTAGTCTGAAAATCTCAGACTTGGTATAGAAAAAAGGCTGAACTTTCAGAGTGTCTTAAAATAAAAGTCTGATCATTCAAAACCAATGTATTCTTTTTTTTTGCTTATATATGCTATACACCAGTACAGAAGCGTATATCACATAAACAGTCGTAACTGTACGTGAGAAGCAGGATGCCTGCCTCCGAGAAATCCGATCCTTACATGTGGATCCGGGGCCTGTGTATTCAATGTTGAAACCAATGTATTCAATGTTTCATCGGAAGTATATTCAATGTTTCATTCATCTGCTATCGAAACATGCTCTGACAGGGCGAATATGTGTGTCAGGGCGAATCTGCAATGTCAGGGCGATTTCGCTGTGATTGGTTGAAGATTGCTGTACTCTGACAGCGCAGATCTGTTGTGTCAGGGAGATTTTCCTATGATTGGGCGAAAATCTAGTGCTGTAAGACTCGGATTTGCTGTGTCAGTGCAAATCTGATGTGACCCGAAGTCCGAATCACCCGTCAAGGACGCGTTTCTACTCTGAATTATCAGAGTACACTCTCAGAAAACTCTGAAGTCTCAGAGTTTGCCTTAAAAAAAGTCTGAAAATTACAGAGTTGAGGCCCCAAAAAGTATGACTTTATCAGAGTACACAGGAAAAAAAATCTGAAATATCAGAGAAAAAAGTCCAAATCAGAGAAAAGGGTCTGACTTCTGAGGGCCTGCTCTCAATCCTTCGCTTAACCACGGCTGTACAAGGCAAAGCGTCTCCCAGCCACCAACTTGCACACACCTCCACTCTATCCACACTCCTTACCGACAAGCCTCTCCCTCCTCAATGTCATTCACCTACCCCCCATCATCACTCTTTGCAACCATCACCCCCCTGCTGTGTGCACAGATCCTCACAGCAAACCCAACTCCCCAGCAGTTGTTGCAGCAACAGGGGCCTCAGTTCGCATGATACCACGTGATTGTCATGCCATCCAGGCCTTGCCTCTCCATGCCCTAAACCCTATCCACCATCTCAGCATTGTCTGACGGACAGATGAACGGTCATGCAGATCTTACAAGCTCCATCATAGACAACATAACCTCTCCACTGTGAAGATATTTGTACACACTGCACCCAAACAGCTAGGCATTTCTTATGCAGCTCCCCTCATTCTGCTATGCAAGACATTACTCGTCCATGATTTCAACCCTCGCCCATCACTGCTGCTGCTGCCACTGCTGCCGCTGCTGGTGCTGCTGCCACTGCTCCTACCACTTCTGCCGCCACTGCTGCTGCCACTGCTGCTGCCACTACTGCTGCCACTGCTGCCACCACTGCTGCTGCCACTGCTGCCACCACTGCTGCCACCACTGCTGCCACTAGTGCTGCTGCCACTGCTGCTGCCACTGCTGCTGCCACTGCTGCTGCCACTGCTGCTGCCACTGCTGCCACCACTGCTGCCACCACTGCTGCCACCACTGCTGCTGCCACCACTGCTGCTGCCACTGCTGCGCCCACACCATACTCGCCTCCCCGACTGCGCTCTTGCTCTCTCTTGTCCCCAGAATCCCCACCCCTCCTTCCCTTGCCCTCCTGCTCCGCCTTGCCTCCCACCTCCCCTTCCCCTTTCCCATCCGCCCCGTTGATGACTGCTTCACCCTCCATCACAAGAAGTGCCAGGCAAGCAATTCCTATACAGCTCTGCTCATGCCAACAACCATTTCCCAACGCTCTACAGTATGCAAGTTTAGCTGTGCACAACCACCAATCCATGCCTCACTCCTCCACTAGCACTCCTCCCCTCATTCTTCACACCACTTGCCTCCACGCCTCACTTCAGTCTCCCCTAGACAGTCAGAGTCAACTCCTCCCTCACCTCACCTCCTTTCCATCATCATTCCCTGCCACCCTACCAACCTATCCGCCTGCATGCATCATCTTTCCCGAGTTCACCCCCTTCTGGCGGCAAGAGAAGTCTCAGCTTGGTCAGGGCAGTCTGTTGGCGCAGCCCATCATCCGTGACTGGCGTGCCGATCAACCAAAGAGCCTCGAGCCCTGTCAGCCTTCCCACAGTCACCATGCCGGCATTTGTCACACTCATGCATTCAGAAAGCTGCAGCACTGTGAGAGAGGGCAGAGCTGTCAAGTGCAGCAGGCCAGCGTCGGTCACCTTGGACTGATGGAGAAAAAGCTTCTTAAGACTGGTCAAGGACCCATTCCCTTCGAGGGCAATGTCCAAGATTTCTGTGTATTGGAGGCTCAGCATCTGCAGCCGTGGCAGCCTGTAGAGGTGCTTGATGCCCTCTGCACTGAAGCCTGCGCTGAATTCCAAGTCCAATCTCGTTAGACGCGACATTGTGGACACGTGGGCGAGCATGGCGTCTGAGACGCATTGGAGGCACGATAGACTCAAATCGTTCTCTCCTGATTGTGACTTGAGTTGCTGGAGGTGATGGATGAAGAGGGAATGAATGGCAAGAAAATGAATGATCATTGAGACAACAGCACACAATGCATGCCCTCTCAACCATGCATGCCCTGTGAACTGGTTCACCAACACCCACCTCCCATGCAGTCTTCTGATCGCCTGCACTCTGCCTGATCTGCAGGTCAACATCCAACTTCAAGCGGGCATTCTTGTGTGCATCCAACTCTTTCTTCACTACTGCCAGCTTCCTCTCCCTCTCCTCCACCTGCGCTCTCATCTCCCTCATCTCCGCCACTCGCTTTCTCTCAGCCTCTTCCAGCTGCAATGCAGTTGACTGCTTGTGCTCAGCCAACTCCCCCTTCACCGCATTCACCTCCCCCGTCACTGCACTCACCACCCGCTTCACTGCATTCACCTCCCCCTTCACTGCATTTACCCCTCCCCTCATTGCATTAACCTCTCCCTTCACTCCACTCACCTTCCCTTTCACTGCATTTACACCCCCCTTCACTGCACTCACCTCCCCCTTCACTGCATTTACCTCCCACTTCAGTGCATTCACCTCCCCTTTCATTGCTGTCACCTTACCCGTCACTGCAGTCAGATTCCCATGAACTACTGCCAACTCTGCGTTGGTTCGAATCAGATCCCCTTTAACTGTTTCCATCTCTCTCCCCTTCTCCTCCACCACAGCAGAAGTCGCCAAACTCTTCTCTTCCACAAAACTCAGTGCACGCCTCAACTCATTTTCCAAATCCCGATTTCTCTCATCTAGCATCGCCACTCACTCCTTCTGTCGAGCCACCTCCTCCCTGACCACTACCAGCTCCCCCCTCAATGCTGCCAATTCCCCTCTCACTAATCCAAACAGTCCATTCACTGCCTCACTCATCATACTTGACTCGCTCTCGACGGCCATAACTACAGGTAAAGTTCAGCCTCCTCCCTCCTTCCCACTGCAGATTGCTCGACGTGGACGGCACTCTGGCGTGTCAGAATCGGTTGGAGATGAATGCATGGAGGAAAACAGGGAAAGACAACGCACACAAAAAGAAAAGAGCAGGAGAGTAGGCATGAAAAAATGGCCCGACCCGAAAGCAATGGGCCAGGGTATCGGGTCGACTCGGGCCAGTTTTTTTAAGACCTTGACCCGACCCTTCCTGTGGGAGTCGGGTTTAGCCTGAACCGGGGTCAGGTCGGGTACAGTAAACCCGCCCTCCCTAGGCGCCCAGATTATGTGTGAGCACTACAGATTTTGGAGCGCAAAGCGCCCTAAGCAAAACCGGAACCCGTAAATTGGTGCCTAAACGTAGGTATGAACGGGGCCATTGCTTATAATAGTGAGCTAAGGGGATATCTATGCCTGATTAGTTACGTCCTAGGGTTCCTAGGCTGTAGGAATCGATTAGGTTGCAAAACAATGGGGAGGGGGGAATTGTCCCTCGATATCGAGATCTGGGTTTCCAACCGTTGAAATCGGTTAGGGTCAATACCCGACCTGTTTACCTGTTTTTCTTAACCGATATCAGGGCGGGTCAAAGTCAAGTCAAAACCCGACCCGCCCAGGCCAGGCCAATGAAAACCTTGACCCGACTCCGGCAAAATCCCGGGTCGGGTTGGGCCTCATGCCTACGAAGAGGGGGTGCCATTCAACCTAAGTAGACACGAGCCAAACTGTACCTCGCCAAGTTTAACCTACTAGAATTGGTCGAGACTACGGCCTCAACTGAGGCGACCATCTCTCATGGAGTGAAGTTATTTACTCCGTAAAAAGGCAAGGAAGGAACTTACTCGCGAGTCAGCTTTTCTCTTGATCTAAACCCCAGCGCGACTTTTCAGAGGAGGTCGTACAAATGAACTCGATTGGCTGGTCAGGGTACCTTCTAGGTGGGGCAAAGTATGTGGGTTCCCACATGGGCATGGGAGGGGACAGGGTGGATACTTCGAGTAGTACTTTCACCAGCTCGTGACTTGAGCTCGGTAGAGAAAATGCGAGCTATCAGAACTCTAGCAGAATCACAATTTTTAATTATATAGTAGCTCCAGCGTGGATTAACGGCAAAACTTTGAGGACAGCAGAAATGAAAGGATATGTATGTGGTGATGGCAATTGTGGCACTATCGTAATCACAAACGTGTCACTTTCTTATTTTGACAATGCCTATGTTCAGTCACCTCACACGTCACATGTTAGTAAATACCCTCTTGGCAAAGTTTGCCTTAAAACGAGCGTCGACGTATGACGCCTCCATGCATGCTTACCGAGCTTCGTCTTTGAACTAAGCTCCAGGAATGTGGAATTGAGATAGCCGAGAGCTTATGCACTGCGCTTCTCCACCTTGCGACACCGACACGAAAAAGCGAGATAAACGGAGAGTATGAAGCATCGGCGAAGTGAGACTTGAGGGAAGTGCTGGCTTGCAAGCAAAATGAATGCTATGACGAACCAGCCTTACTTGTTTCTAGGGTTTGAAAGATAGAAACGTCGTGAGAGACTAGCGGAGGCACTTGAATCTGAGCTCTACAACAGGCACCGGACACGCCGAACGATCTGAAACGCACTGAAATTGTAAGTTTTACTTGAGAGTATACGATGGCTATAGAAAATTATAGAAGCGAGAGCGTAGTTGCGAATCTCACTGGGAGCGAAGGGTACAAGACGAGAAGATAAGCGATTGTGAGGAGATGAGGATTACTAGCAGGATGAATGGTACTAGCTGCTACGCGACGCGGGTTCGAAAAAAAGGATAAGCGCTTCGTGAGAACTTAGCTAATGCGTGAGATGAGAGGATGAGGGCCGTGTGTAAGGAATTTTCCCGAATTCCTTATCGGGGTTGACTGCTTCGCGTACAACCCGATTTTCGGAGTTCGCACGTTCGGCCGATTTCAACGCTGCTGAGGCTCCTCGCGTCGCCTTCGGCATTTCCATCGCCAAACTTGCACCCAACCTCGTCTCCCGAGGTTTCCTCCCAGCTAGGCTAGCTGTAAGGAAATTCCCTTTTCCTTACTTCGCGTCCCTGCTCAACGCGTACGTCACTGTAGCACCTCAGTCAGCACCGTTACCACTCACGACCATCGCATCATTCATTATCCCGCCCTTTTCGCACATCGCATCCCGACCTCACGGCTCGGCTGGTAACCCGCGCTCCGGGCCTACGCTTCGACACTTTCCCAACCTCAGTCCCAGGCTCGTCGCGCGACAACCACAGTCCATTACCGTTACCACTATTGTTTCGCTATATAATCCTTCGCTCATGCCTTCGCTCGAGATACTTTTGCTTCGATAGTGCAATTCTCGTTCGTTCACTCAATTGCACTCATAACACTTGGTAATCAGAGCCTACGATCTCATCTCGGACCGCATCCACACCTTCGCTTCCCACTATCTCAATTTTTGGGGGGGGTAGACGTCTCTCAGCGACACAGCACCGCCGCTCGTAGTGCTCTCTCGCAAGCACGCACGGCCACGACCGAGGCTCTCGCTGAGCTTGCCCGACACCCCCGCCATGGCCGACCTCAATCTCGCCACGTTGACGCAGGAGCAACTCGATCGTCTCGTGCGACAATTGGAGGATTCGGCGCTTGAAATCGCGACGCTCACGGCGGAACGTGACTCCGCCCGTCAACAGTCAACGGTGAATGCTCCGACAACATCCCACGCACCAACCAATGTTTCTGTACATTCGGAGGATCCGATTGTCATCTCATCCGGCACACCAACGCAACACAACAGCACGGGACAGCGCTCAGGCGCAGCCAGTGACGGCGCAGCCCAACCGATGCCCGGCATGGGAGGGAACAGGAGCACGCTAAGCCCACGGGAGCCTCGAGAAGCCCGTCGGCACGTGGAGTTTGCGGCGACAAGTGGCGAAAACGCCATGATGGCCCCAATGCCACTCAAGCCGCAACGCCCGCCCTGCTTCGACCCAAGCCAACGCAGCGGCCCGACAGTTCAATCGTGGGTCTTCACGATGAAGACGCCAACTACGTCGAGTCGGACGCCGCCAAGATTCGGTATGTGGTTTCACTACTCAGGGGCCCCGCCATGGACTGGTGGAACCGTCGCACGAGGAAGGGCCCTCGGGTCCAGCTGTTACCTGGAGTTCGTTCTGCGAAACAGCCCAATACAGCACGTGGGATGCGTGGTGCGCAGGGCTTCGGGCGCGTTTTGAGCCGATCGCGGCTTCGATTTCGGCGCGTCAGAAACTGCGCACTTGGCGCCAGCTCGGGTCGGTTCAAGACTACACCAGCGGTTTTCTCGCACTTTGCGAACAGGTCGGCTACATGCACGAGGCGGAGCGGGTGGACCGTTACGTCGGAGGGCTGAAGCCGGACATATCGCACGAGTTAATGCTACGCGGGCTATCGAATTTCAACGAAATCCTCGCGCTCGCCGAGAAAATCGATATCCTACGCCGACCGAGACCGGGGTCCTATTTCGGACATCGCCCTCGGGGACCGATCGAGCACGCCACTGTACATGCCGTCGCAACGAATGCAGCTGCCACGCCATTTAGAGGGCGGTGCTTTGCTTGCAACCGGCCGGGCCATCGCAAGAGCGAATGTCCAGAGGAGCTGAGGCGTCGAGGAGCAGAGCAGGGGAGGGAGTCTCAGAGGCAGGGAAACGCCAGCAGTCAGTAGAAGTTGGGCCAACTACTGACGAGACTGCCTGCTCGCCCAACCACACCGACCCTCACCGAGTCACAGTACCGATTCACGCCATCGATCGGGCTCGGATGAATAAGGAGGGTACAGCGACGGATTGCCCGGAACTGATCTACGGGAAAATACAGGGAGTAGCAGTGAAAATCTTCATTGACCGAGGAGCAAGTCACAGCTTAGTTAATACTGCAACCGCACGGAGATTACAGTTAATACTTAACCGATGTTTACCTGAGATAGATGCACGCTTAGTCGACGGCACGCCATTGGCCATACGAGAAAAAGTGGAGCGAGTAAAAGTCCGCTGCGGGGGAAACTTCGGGTTTACACAGGAAATGCTCGCAACGACGCTGGATGGGCACGACATTTTACTGGGACGTGATTGGCTGCGACGGTACAACCCACGGATCGACTGGACGACGGGGAGCTGCACAGTGCGAAGTAGCGGTAACTGGGTCGTCCTACCTCGCTGGCGGCCACCCGAATCTTCGACAGTCCAGGTCAACGCCATCACGATGAAACGGGCTGTCGCTGCTGGAGCTGACGTGTACGCAGTGGATATCGCAGTGGTAGAAAAAGACGAGCAGCAGAATGATTTAAAGAAACTACTAGCAGCCGTACCGACCGAATTATAGGCACTACTGAAACGGTTCCCGGGGATATTTCCGGATGATTTACCACAGGGACTGCCACCTCAGCGAGCGCACGACCATAGGATCGAGTTAGAACCGGGGGCACAGCCAACAGTACAGCGGCAATTTCGACTGACACAGCCCGAGCTCGACGAGTTAAGGAAGCAGTTAGATTACCTGTTAGAGAAGCAGTTTATTCGACCAAGCTCGTCACCGTTCGCCGCACCCATACTGTTCACACCGAAAAAAGACGGAGGTTTTCGCATGTGCATCGACTACCGAGCGCTTAACCGGGTAACAGTCAAATCGCGATACCCCATCCCCCGCGCCGACGAACTGATTGACCAACTGCGAACAGCACGTGTCTTTTCGAAAATAGATTTACGGGGAGGTTACCATCAGATTCGGGTCGAACCATCGGACTGCGCAAAAACAGCATTTAGGACTAGGTACGGGTCATTCGAGTATACACTAATGCCCTTCG